CTTGACGTCGAGGAGGAGGGAGGAGGAGGGAGGAGGAGGAGGAGGAGGAAGAGGAGAAGGAGGAGGAGGAGGAGGAGGAGGAGGAGGGAGGAGGGAGGAGGGAGGAGGGAGCAGAAAGAGAGGAGGAGGAGGGAGGAAGAGGAGGAGGATGAGGAGGAGGATGAGAGGAGGAGGAGGAGGAGGAGGATGGAGGGAGGAGGAGGAGGAAGGAGGAGGATGGAGGAGGGAGGAGGGATGAGGAGGAGGGAGGAGGAGGGAGGAGGAGGAGGGAGGAGGAGGAGGAGGGAGGAGGCGGGCTCCACGAGTGCAGCATACTGCGAGCGTCGAGGCTCTGGAGACAACGCCGCCAGCACTGCCACCTGGACGTTCGACGTGATCCAGCCGCACCGCCACGAGCACCACCAGAGAAGCGTTCGTGATACGTACGGGCGCGATGTGGCTTTCCACTGCTGCTCCTCGGCCTCCGTCAGGGCAGAGCTGGGGGTGGTCGCCGACGCTCGATAGCGCTGCCCCCTGACAGTGATTCACACCATCCGCTTCGTCTTGGTCTGAGCTGGAGCCGTATAGAGCTGCCAACGACCACCCACTCGTCCACACCGTGAAGTTCGTCTGCGCAGCCGCAGCGCACACCCGAAGCATAGCATTGCCAGCCCAGTTCCCATCGACGGCGGCCTTCTCGGCCTCCTTCACTTACTCGTTTCTATATGTCTTGCTCTGCCACCCATCTTGATCCCCGCTGCACACAGCAGCCGCGTGCTTGCCTGAAGCCCACCTCCAGGAAGAATGTCTTCGGATAGCAGTGGCCTGGGAGCCGTCGTGCTTGCAGCGCACAGCTGGTGGCGCGCAAGGCGGGAGGCAATCACCACACACCCCAGGATCGTTCTCCGAGAATCGTTTGCCCACGGAGGTGGAGCAGGTTGGGGTGGCTGAGGTGGTGGAGCGGGCGCTGCGTGCGCCTCAGCTGCCGCGCGCTCCATGGCCACATCCTCCATCTTCACGTCCTCGTCTCTCGTTGTCGCCACTGCCGGCAGAGTTGGTCGCGCAGGAGTGGCGCGCCCCACGCCGTCGGCTCGTTTGCCGCAGGGGTCGGGCGAGCTGTCCCCCCCCGGACGAGGAGGCGACAGAGCCGCCGCAATGCCAGACGGACAGGTGCAGGTCCGATCCTTCTGCAGGCCAGGAAGGGCTGCTCACCTGTGCAGCGTCTTCGTGCTGGAGAGCGTGAGATGCCCGAGACGGCCCGAAAGCGTGTCGCCTCCGCCCACTTCTGCACCATCGGTAATTATCAGACCGAGGCTCAAGGCGCTTCCGGAGCCGCCATCTCGGCTGGATCTCGGCTCCGACCATCGTCTCGGCAGTCGCTCCCGAGTTCGCATTTCCGAAGGGTGGCACGCATCACGTCCACGCGGCGTCGTCGCCACAGGACGAGCCCGGGCATGATACATAGAGCATGGGTCCCGTTCCCGCGAATCCCGTGGCATACCGGCATCAACTTTGACCCCTGCACGGTCCAGAAGATTCCAGTGGGCAGGACCCACGCTAGGATGTCCTCCAAAAAGCGTCACCTTTTTTTGTATATATACACATATATCGATATGCGTGCGACCTCCGACTTGCAGGCCGCCGCTCTCTTCGTCGTTACGACCCTCCGTGCCAGGATCTCCTTGAACAGCAAGTCTGCAGTCGAAACGGGTGTCTCCCGCATGGCGCCGCAGAGGTCATCGTCTGCGAAGCTGACTGCAACTGTCGCTCTGCCCGCCGCCGTCTTCGGCACCGCCGAGGGGAACGCCCCATCGTCCTGGACAGTGTCTTGGCATCGCTCGGACGTGTGTACTTTTTCCTTCGGCGAGGGCCATCGAGGAGCACCCTTGATCACTGGGGGCAAGAACCACGCACGAAGCCGGCAAAAGCACAGGGAGTGGACGTCCGAGCGATGGCCAGGCGTTGGGAAGCCCTCCCCGCCGAGGAGGCTGTATTTTTTTTTCGGCGAGGACCATCGAGGAGCATCCTTGATCATTGGGGGCAAGAACCACGCACGAAACCGGCAAAAGCACAGGGAGTGGACGTCCGAGCGACGGCCAGGCGTTGGGAAGCCCTCCCCGCCGAGGAGGCCGTGCTCTGCTGTGTCCCGGGAGCCGGGCCCCGGCACGGGGCGGGGGCCTCCCGCGGGAGAGAGCCCGCCGGCACGCCCGCGGCAGTCCCCTCGGCATCGCTCGGACGTGTGCATCTCTTCTCGGCGAGAACCATCCACGCACGAAACACGCACGAAACCCAATGGGGCTCGATGTGGATCGCCGATGCATCGCCACATCGCCGATGCATCGCGCCCCATCGCCGATGCATCGCCGAGGGGGCTCGATGTGGAGCCCGACTTGCTTCACGTCGACGCCGCCGATGCATCGCCGACGTCGCGGGCGCATCGATGATGCGTCGCTGATGCATCGGCGATGCGTCGCCGATGCGTAGGCGATGCGGCGCGACCCTCCGACCCCTGGACCATCGAGCAAAAAAATAACACGCACGAAGCCCAAGAGTGCACGGGAAGTGGGCGTCCGAGCGACGGCAAGCCACTCCAACCGTCCAGCGTCTGCGATGATTGTGCTCTTGTGCGGAATCTGGGCCGTTGCTTGTGAGCCGCGTTGCTTTCGCCTCCGGGTTCCTATTCAAGGCGTACCTTTGCATGCCCTTCGCCTTCGGCACCGCCTGATCCCGGGGCTCTGCCCCCTCCTGGCCTTGACGTGAGGCCCCTCCTTCTGCCTCTCCTCCTTGTTAATTCAAGCTGTGCGCGGCCCGCTTAGCTTCGAATCAAAAAAAAAGTTAGCCGCGTTTCTTGACGGCCACTGGCATCCCTGCGCGCGCGCGCGAACAAAAATGTACCTGCGCTGAGTTGGACAGAGCATACGTACGTCTCCCCTGCATGGGGGCGCAGTCGACTGCAGCCAGCGCACTGCGTTCTCGAGCTCCGCCGTCGACTGGCACACGATGACCGACGGTTCGGTGATGTCGGTGGCTCTCGTCGCGCTGGCCTGGACCATGGGAGCCGTCCCCCACGGTTGCGAAGTCAACATCGGCTGGCTCTTCTCCACAACGGGCCATGGTGAAGTCCTGGAAGCTGGTGTGGACCCCTGGATCAGCTCTCGGAGGCTCCTCAGCGACAGTTTGCCCGCAAGAGTTCACCTTCTTCAAAAAGGCCCTGGGCTTAGTTGGAGTTGGCTCTTCAGCTTTCTTGTTCTTCGTCCGTCTCGGTGTCGACTTGCCACCCTTGCTCGTCGGCACCTCCACGTCAGTGTACCCCAGACTCCCCGTCAGCTGGACCACCATTTGCGCAATATGTGCAACTTGATTTGCAAGCGAATCCTGACGACGCCCTACAGTCGCCTTGGCTGCTGACTCGCCTCCTGTAGTTTTCATGCGTGGTTTTTGATGGTCCCGGGGCCTGGTAAGGGCCCCGACGGGCCGGAACCGATCAACACCCTTACATAGTGATCTGTGTATGACCCGAGGGAAGGGGGAGGGGAGGAGGGAGGAGGGAAGGAGGGAGGAGGGAGGAGGGAGGAGGGAGGAGGAAGGAGGGAGGAGGAGGAGGAGGAGAAGGAGGAGGAAGAGGGAGGAAGAGGAGGAGGAGTGCATGGCTACAGGGGAACCCAGGACTGCCATGAGTGAGTGAGTGCGTGAGGAGGGGAAGGAGGGTGAGGAGGAGGAGGAGGAGGAGGAGGAGGAGGAGGAGGAGGAGGAGGAGGAGGAGGAGGAGAAGGAGGAGGAGGAGAAGGAGGGAGGAGGAAGAGGAGGAGGAGGAGGAGGACGAGGAGGGAGGAGGGAGGAGGAGGAGGAGGGAGGACGGAGGAGAGAGCAGGAGCCCACCCCCCCTCCCAGCCTCGGAAGGTCACCGACTCCACGCCTGCACCGAGCCTGGCTGGGCCGACCCTCGGCCCAGGATGTGCCCGGCCAGGATCGGCGCAGCCTGCGTTAAGGCGTGCATGGCCGTTCGGCGCCGAGCGAGGGGGGGGAAGTGCGAAGACTCTCTTGGGGATTCTCTTGGCGCCTCGGCGCCCTGTTGGTGTGCGTCTTGGGGATCTCTTGGGCCCTCTCGAGGCATCTCTTGGCCGTGTTGGAGCGTTCTTGGACCGTCTGAGGCCCCCCGCGGACCGTATTGGACCGAAGTTGCCGAAGAAGGACCCACTTTGCCAGAATACGCTTCTCGGCGGCAAGCGAGGGGGGAAGTGAGAAGGAGAAGGCCTTCTCGGAAGGCTCGGAAGTCCCCCGGCCTTCCGAGAAGTTGCCTGAGCCCTCCCCGAAGGCACAGGCGACTTCTCAGAAGGCGCGAGGGCTTCCGAGAAGTCCCGCCGCCTTCTGAGAAGGCCTGCTCTTTCTCACGTTCCCCCCCCGCTCGCCGCCGATCTGACCTTGTCAGCACAGTGTCTTGTGAGACGGGTCGTTGCCCCATTGGCGCCAGGGCGCTGAGCTCCGCAGAAGAATGGCGGCAGAGAGGCAGAACCGTCCACTTCGACAGCGCCCCTCGGGCTTGCCGAAGAGACCCTCTCGCCCGCCAGACTGGCGAGCGGCTCGTGGTACCGCTGGGGTCCGCCCACGGCCCTGGGTTGGAGCTGTCTGGGGTTAGCGCGTCCCCGAAGCAGGAGGAAATGAGGAGGAGGAGGAGGAGGAGCAGGAGGAGGAGGAGGAGGAGGGAGGAGGAGGAGGAGGAGGAGGAGGAGAGGAGGAGGAGGAGGAGGAGGAGGAGGAGGAGAGGAGGAGGAGGAGGAGGAGGAGGAGGAGGAGAGGAGGAGGAGGGAGGAGAGGAGGAGGGGGAGGAGGAGGAGGAGGGAGGAGGAGGAGGAGGAGGAGGAGGAGGAGGAGGAGGGAGGAGGAGGAGGAGAGGAGGGGAGGAGGAGAGGAGGAGGAGGAGGAGGAGGAGGAGGAGGAGGAGGAGGACGAGGAGGACGAGGAGGAGGAGGAGGAGGACGAGGAGGAGGAGAAGGGGGGGCCCCCCCCGCCGAGCCCTGCAGGTACGGCGCCCTCTCGGCCGAGCTGACCAGTCAGCGCACCGCCGCCTCGAGCCGGCTGCTTCGAGACCGCTTGCCCCAGGACCCGGGCCTCGGTCGCCGCGACCTGCTTAGCAGCGTCGACCCTGCACATTGTTCAGTTATCCTTGATTCTGGGGGGCCAAGATCCTCCTCCTCCTCCGCCTCCTCCGCTCTCCTCCGCCCCCTCCGCCTCCTCCTCCCCCTCCTCCTCCTCCTCCCTTCTCCCCCCCTCCTCCTCCTCCTCCTCCTCCTCCTCTCCTCCTCCTCCTCCTCCTCCTCCGGCTCCTCCGGCTCCTCCTCCTCACTCACTCACTCACTCACTCACTCACTCACTCACTCACTCACTCACTCACTCACTCACTCACTCACTCACTCACTCATTATCTCACTCACTCACTCTTCGAAAACTCCTCGATTTTTTGGGGGGCAAGATCCTTTCACTTCTGATTGCTCCATCCTGGGCCTCCTCTTGGCCACCAGGGGGCCGGGAACAATCAGAAACGAGCACAGTCAGAAACGAGCACGATTAGACATGCACGACCCCTGGAGGAGGAGGAGGAGGAGGAGGAGGAGGAGGAGGAGGAGGAGGAGGAGGGGGAGGAGGAGGAGGTTTGTCGGGGGCAGCGCTGCGGTCCGGCACGTTGCCTCGGCGCGCTGCCCGCAGGCTCGGGGCCCTCCACGCTTCGGCCTCGACACGCCGGCCGCGTCCCGGGGCTCCCGGCGACACGCGATCCGCTTGCAGGGCGCAGCATGTCGCTGGGGCCGCCGCTGCGACACGCAGAGCATGACCCCAGCAAAGCACCCGCATAGAAGCAAAGCACCCGAAGAGGCGGCTCGAAGGATAGGAGGTCGGCGAGTGAAAACATACATTTCTGTGTAGATATATATATATGTATATGTACATATACACATTCATACGGGTTCTTAGCAAACGCACGACGTGCGGTAGGGTGCTCACTCTTGCCTCGGAAGCGTACGCGGGAGTGGGCTTCGGGCCACAAGACGAGTCAGAAGTGCGGTAGCGTGTGTGCTCTCTTGTGTGAGAATCGCTCGCGCAACGGGGCTCTGGCAACACAGAGGCACGGCCGTGTGCACCCTGTTGC